AGACACACTCCCACACACTCAGCACAATAAAAGAAAAATGTGTTTGCTCCGAGGAGTGGTCAGGCGTGTCTCAATCCAGCTCATCATGGAGACAATTAGCAGGAAGACCCTGAGGTGGACGCTGGAAGGGAGAGATGAGCAGCTATGGACATGTGCCGCCTGCTATGATTCTAGCTCTGGATCCCCAAGTAAATCCAAGTAAATCCAAGTATGTGTGTGTGTTTGTGTGTGTGCGTGTGTGTGTGTGTGTGTGTGTGCGTGTGTGTGTGTGTGTGTGTGTATGTGTGTGTGTGTGTGTGTTTGTGTGGTGTATGTGTGAGTGAGCATCAAAATAACTTGTTTCAATTTTAAAACAACCACTTCTGTTTAAAACCTGTCACAAACACAGTTGCTGCTCTACAGACAAATCCTTTCCGCAACAATGTGCCTCATATACTTGCAAACAAGCAACCAACGTTTCAAAGAGATACATTTTGAGAAACCACGATTAGTGTAGCCCCATCCCCTTTAAAATATTAGCAATCTGAAAAAAAGGCAAAAAAAGCCAGAGCAGCTTTCAGAGGTCTTCATTGTACACACAATGGTACTGAATGTGTCGTCAAGGGACATTTTTTAGTTATTTATAGTAGTAGAGGGTTTTACGGCGCTCGCAACTGCATAAGGTCATATGACAGCCAAGGGGTGGGTGTCAACATAGAAGTCTTTACAGGGAATCAGACTTAGACTGCTCACCTCTCTAGCTTCAACAGCACCAGGTCTGTTTCGACTATCAAGGCACCCCAAAATAGCAGGTCACAAGAGAGTGACAAACATACAAAAGAAGTAGAGGAATATGACAATAGCAAGGATCTGGAAAGAAAAAGCAGCAGTTCCCTGTTGTAGATCAGGCACAGTTAAGAGCGTGACATGAGTCAGCCCATTTACAATTCAACTATGCTTGAACCAGAAATGCCCCCCCTTCGGGAATGGCCTAAAGACACTACAGTCAGTGGCACTGCCCCGGGGGTGGACATTTTTTGCGCAAGAATTCAGAAAATTGAAAACCCTTAGCTTGTTCAAATCTTTTTCAACCCCTTTTGTACTCTTGTTATGTCTTCGAGATCTAGTTCAATGTGTTCACTATATTTTCCGTAAGTAACGAAACAAAAAAAAACTCAAACTCAAAATGTACGCGTCAGCTCCGCCTCTCGAGCACAAATCAAAAGCCACCCCACCCCCACCCCCCACCCCCCAAGATCAGATATGACTCTATTCGGGGAAAAATATATTAATAAACCTTGATTTCATTGATTCACGCAAAGGTAGAACGTTCAAAACCCAATATTAATCACTGTCACTATCTTGTTTCCCCTTTTTTTCAAATTAATGTTTTTAAAACGAAGTTGAGATAAGATGCGTTCACCGGTTGTCCTCTATTTGTGTCGAAAAGTGACGAAAAGGAATATTTTTCCTAAATTCATCATGTGTAGTGGGTCAGTTAAGTTCCGAATAGAAGGCCCAAGAATTCTGGTACCTCAAAATAAATACAGCTTTTGCTTGCTGGTTTGGGAAAAAATCAAATGTCTGACGAGTTTAATGAATTTCTAATATAAATTTTGAGGCCTCAATTGTCAATGACTTTGATCTGTTGCGCACGGATGACATATCTCGATAATTAATCCTCTTAAATAACGTTGCCTGCCCCCATCCCTCTTCAACTGTAATATATTATTGTACTTTGTCTTTCCCGAAAGAACCACATTCATCACACTTACGTCAGCTAAGAGAATTATAGTTACAACAGTTGCCCCCAATCTAAAGGTCATGAAAAGTCGTGATGTCGTTATCGAAGTGTCTAGGTTCCTTCAACTGTTTTCTTTTGTTTTTGGGGTTGTTGGTTTTTTTGTTTTGGTGAGGGGCGGGAGTTTGGGGGGGGGGGGCTGTGATCGTGCATGGTATCTCACACAAAACTTAAGAAATGGCTTATCTTTGTGAATGCTTCGAGCCTCTGTACCAGAAATTGAATGGGAGGCCTGGGAAGATGAAAGGTGTTGTGTTAAGGTGGTATCTAGCCTAGTGAAGAAAGAAAATGAAATCTACAACGAGAGTATTAGCAAACTTCCTGCCCGCAAGCCATCAGCACGACAACCCAGAGCTTCGGGGTTTAACTAGCTTGTACTGCTTTCAACCGATCCACCTGTGAGGCGCGTTTTCATTCAGATAAGCAGGAATCCCGAGATACCAATGGGTGATGCTCCATCTTGTTGAAAAATGAGGTCATTCGAATTTGCTTGATAAAGTGAATAGTCCCTTTTTGGGGAGTATAGTAAAGACAAAATTTATGCCCCACCACGTCTAGCAAACATCGATGACATGAAAGATCGAATCAACAAGGTGGACCTAGGCATCCCGACGCGCGTTTGGGAAGAATTCTCATATCGGCTTTATGTTGTCCGTGCTGCCGGTGGTGGCCACGTTAAGCACTTGCAAAACATTGAATAAAAACTTAAAAGTATGTACAAACTTGAGTCAACGCTGGAGTTTTCTATTGGTTTTAAATTTTGTAATATCGCGTGATGATTTTGGCGTATTCTTTTTTTAATCACCCTGTATTATATGGGCTCTGAAAGAAGCCTAGAAGCTGCTGAAATGTAGTATTTAAGGAGAATACCCATGTACAGTGAGGAAAACAAATGGAGAGGTGCTCCAAATGCAGGTTGTAAAAGATCTATAATTATCAGAGCCCTCAGAAAAATACAATTGACATTCTTTGACCACAGTAATAGATCAAAATAGAGATACTGCGGGATTATTTTTTTTTATGATAGAGGGGAAGAATAGCAGATGAATTATAAAGACTTTCCAACAAACAACACAATGAGAAAACTGCAGCTGGTCAGGAAGACTGGCGACAGGAAGGAGGAGGTACCATGATCGTCAATGTCTGCTCAAGACTTGACACCTGAAAAGGATGTGTTTTGTTGTAGGGGAGTGTGTGTGTGTGTGTGTGTGTGTGTGTGTGTGTGTGTGTGTGTGTGTGTGTTTGTTGTATGTGTGTTTATGAGTGTGTTTTTTGTGTGTGTGTTTTTTGTGCACCTCTCAAATGTGCTCCTGCCGAATAGCGCCGAAACATAGCCCACAGTAGGCAATCTAGAAATAAACCCTATAGACTGTGCACTAGTCCATGCCAAAATTATGTGGGCCTCGGAGCAATCCAGCGGAGTGCTCAAGTGAATTGTGATTGGTCCATTGTCTTGTCGCTATTTTAAGTGACTCTGTGACCGTGAACCTGAGGGAGGTGAACGTGACATACTTAAGTCGCCGTCCTATGAGTTGTGCTTTTGAACGGTTTTGTAGTGGAGTGGTGAAAGGTATTACTTGAGTGTTCAGTTCTAATGCAGGATGAATGAAATTGACGTTTAGCTAACAAACAGATTTAGTTCTAGAAGTCAAAGCCACAAGTAAAAAGAATGAAAATAAAAGCACAGGGTCTTCCTTCACCAACCCGAAGATCCTAAAATTATACACCATCCTATTTACTCTGCCCTTGATTATCTTCAGCCTAAGATAGCTTAATTGTGCACGCCCACTTTTTAGACCCACGAGCCGGCCCTGCTCATTACTGGTATAAGTATATTAATTGGTCCACCAGTGTACATTAATACCATAGCTTCATATTCCACCATCATAATGTTAATAGAGAGGAGCCCTGAACGGCTTAAAGATTGCTATTATGTGAATCATTGATTATTCCAAAGCATTTGACAAATTAAGGCATGGAGAGCCTTTCCAAATACAAGTATCATTTTCCCTCAGTCTCCTTTCAAACAACATACCAGTGCATCAATAATTGCTGGTTCTCAGAACATTCATCTCTTCATTTGAACATGCTATCACTTCGCACCCCTCCCCCGTGTGCCAGTTGCGCGCGTTAAAGATCCCTTAGTGTTCCAAATGTCGACAAGAGTAGGTTTCGGCGCCACAAATTCAAAATTAAATCCTACCAAACCAAAAAATGCTTAACGAATATGACCTTATGCAGTTCCGAGCGCCGTAAAACACTTACCAAAAAAAAGCCTCACCCAAAGTGATCGACGTCTGTGGTGCAGCAAATAGGCACTTCACCGTCAAACACAGAAGACCCGGGTGCTATTCCAGAATGGGGAGAATTTTTATCGAGCATATCGGTCTTTCTGCTAGGATTATGAATCCCTCTCAGCCTGTGTTGGTCCTGATAAGCAGGGTCAAAGCCCGCCTCCTAAATGATCTTAAATGTGGATGATGGGGACGTAAAAACACCTGCACCACTACAAGATCTTCCAAACGACAACACTGGAATGTGAAAAAAATGGCGGTTCCCTTGCAGTCATCTCCTTTGAGCAGAAAAACGAATTTCTTGGACGCCATCTCAAAACTACGAGCAACCACGGAAGCATGGATGGGCCTGATGAGCGATAAACGTAGAGTGTGCTCCTAAGTGCTCCCAACTCATTTGTCACGATCGGACAGTGTTTCAATGGTCAGGCGTGTAAGTCAGGAAAAGAGGCATTGGAAAACGTGTACTGTTGATATAAAAGACCTGAATTTATACTGCTTACAAGAATATGGGGATACATTTTAAAAATAATAATAATAACAAGAGAGAGTTAGTGAAAGAGCTCGAGGGTGGAGAGACAAACCAAGAGATAGATAAAGGGAGAGAGAGAGAGAGAGAGAGAGAGAGAGAGAGAGAGAGAGAGAGAGAGAGAGGGGGGGGGGCAGAGAGTAAAAAAAGAGAGAGAGAGAGACAGAGTGTGTGTGTGTGTCTGTGTCTATGAGTGTGTGTGTGTGTGTGTGTGTGTGTGTGTGTGTGTGTGTGTGTGTGTGTGTGTGTGTGTGTGTGTGTGTGTGTGTGTGTGCGTGTGTGTGTGTGTGTGTGTGTGTGTGTTGAGAAAGAGAGACAGCTATACAAAGGGACAGAAAATGAGTCAGAGGTAGACAAAAGAGTTGATGACACGGCAATAACAACAAGAAGTCACAACTGTCTCAATGAATCGTTTTATTTGACCTCTTATTTGCTAACTAATGAAAACAATATCTGTGTCTGTTCCTTCATTATACTCGCTAGGTAGGCATATGTTAGTGATTCAAATAGATATTTTTTAGATATCTAGATCGCTGTGCAATTTCTTCAAAGTGTGACTAAAATTCCTTTCCGCTTGTCCTGTTCGTGCTTTCTTTCTGTCCCGGTAACGTTCGATCATTTTTGGACTCTGTTCATTTTCTTCATAAAACATCTCGAATTTTTAATCGAGGATTGTTATGAGAATAAGAATTTGATGACTGCTATTGATACGCTAAACTGCTTTGTCAATCGACATTTCCAAGATAAGAAAGGTCGATTTATTATAGTAACTTCAAGACGATGACATCAAACTGAAATATTTCTACCTGACATGACTTGCGACATAACCAATCTTTGCATTCCATAACCGAAATATATTATTTCTTTAATGAGGACAACTATTTTTTTCCGAATCCAATATCTAAATCTGAAGTAGTTGCTTTTATTGGCATATCAGAAAATGTTGTATTCTAAGACATAATCTCCTCATTACGTTCTTTGTTTAGTTCTTGCAAATGAGAGCTTCAGAATTTTGGGGGGGCTCCTGTTAAAGTGATGTGTTTTGTTTCATAGGTTTTACGATTCATATTTTAGGCAGCACAATCACACACAGAACAGCCAGTGGATGGGTTGAGAGCGTAGCCATCCATGCCACAGTCCAGCTGACAGGTGAAAGGAGGGCACACGGTCGTAGGGCTGGAAGTAGGCGCTTCCGTGCTCGGGGCAGATGAAGTTGCAGGTGCCGCAGAGGGGACAGCTACCCTGTACTCGCACACGAACGGTTTCTCGTACTTCACCCACAGGAAATTTGAGCAGTGATGATCGTTCCATTCGTGGGTAGTGACATCTATAGAGACGCAGTCCTCCCAGTCATGGCGGATCCATCCTCCTCGGGGACCGTTCTCAAATGCCCAGTTTGAGTAATCGGTAGAATTGAGAATTGTTCCGTCCTCCCACACAAACTGGTTTTCCTTAGCGTGATCGTTGAGACCAATCCACACCCTATAGTTGTCGGGTATACCGTAGGTGTTGACCAGTTCTTTCACCAGGTATTCTTGGACCTCATGAGTCTTCACCATGGCCAGCATGCCCTTTTGGCGTTCACAGTCTTTCTCTGCATCGAAGTAGTCGCGGTTGTCGGTCACTACGAACCTGTAGCAGGAATTCCCGTGAACTTGCAAGTATTTGTCTCTGGGTATGGCAACGGGACAATCGCTGAGAGAGATAGCCGAGCCTTGAAGTGAAAGAAGAAGAGATTATTGGTCTCGTCTACTGGATAACAAGTTATGTCCTTTACCTCTGAGAAGGTATATGGAAACCATGTTGAGTTTGGTGGGGCGGATATTGCCTTAGGGGCGATGTTTAGGGGTATACGAATATGTAACCAGGATATTGACAGAAGTTGTCTATCATCATCATCATCATCATCATCATCATCATCATCATCATCATCATCATCATTTTAAACACAGAATAAGAAAATACTGAGTCTTGGTAGGATGTTCAAATATATTATTATTATACAATATGTTCAATGTTTCCCCGTATGGCTTCATCAGGAACATCATTTTTAAAGGATAAAGATTAGATTAAAACCACAGAAAATCACTATCATCATCATCATCATCATCATCATCATCATCATCATCATCATCATCATCATCATCATCATCATCATCATCATCATCATCATCATACCATC